GTGTGTGTGTGTGTGTGTGTGTGTATGTATATATATATATATATATGTGTGTGTGTATATATATATGTGTGTGCACTTGTGTGTATATGTGTGGGTGTGTATGCGTGGGTGTATTTGTATGTATGTGTGTTATTTATTATATATATATATATATATATATATATATATATACTTGAATATGCAAACATATACAAATATTTGTTGACAATGATTAATGTGCGCTAGATGGCACAGAAACGTCATGGGTGCACGATAAAAACGTACTTGTGTATGCTCCCGGATGTTTTGCTGGCAGTATGAACGAAGTCACGCGCTGTGCGAAGGGACGATTTTGAAGTGTCCAGTGTTTCTTTGGAAAACCTTGTTGGTGCTGTGCTCCGAGCAGAATCAGTGTTCGACATCGTTTATCTAATAGCTTCGAGCGATAGAAATTGGCTGAATAATTATATACGCACAACTTGCATATCCGTACTAAAATACAAGCGATATATTATATGCGTACTGTTAACGATCTAGCAATTGCATTATAGAGCTAGATCTGCTTCATATTATACGGTGCCTGTACAGCGATGAATAGATAAACTAAACAGGATTTTCTAGGCAGCTGTCGCTTGAGGTCTAATTGTGAGCGGCGAGTCGACGAGGTGTGGCTGAATATTTATTTATTTATTTACACACCCGATAGTACTTTTCTCGAGAAAAAAACCCCCCCTATCGTAAAGCCATAGCCTTATAAAAAAACTAGAGAGATAAAACAGCACTGGCCTTTAAAATAGCCTCTTTACATCAATAGCCTATTTTTTTTTAAACTGCTGCTGCAGACTGGATTTGGTTATTATACTTTTACTATTATTTGTACATATTTATACTATGAGTGAGTACGGGTGCGTAGTCGTGTGCGTGTATGTGTACACGCACGTACACATGTGCTTTGAATGCTTGATCAGTCTGTATATTTTATCGTCATATATTACATACATGTCCAGACTACACCTGCATCCTAGCTGTTTTTAAATACACCGTCTATCAGCGCGAAGCGAACCTAAGAATATAATATATAAAGATGGCCGAGTATTTTCAATCCGACGGCGTTGACGACGGGAAAGTTACCAGACGCACAGTTTCATTGCGGAAGACGAAAGGCGAGAACTTTGGAGTCGAGCTCTTTGCTGTGGGCTATCAAACTCTGGTGGCGAAAGTGAAGAAATTTGTGGTGATCGACGTTACTACCCAGGTACGTCTCGATACGCGAACATACTTGTGTATCCGTATCACATTATTAGGATAGAATTTTTACCACGTGACAAATCACGCCTCTATGTACAGTGATTAATTTTAAGCATGCGTTCACAAACTTATTCCACAACGGAAATCAAATCTATACAATATTTGAGTTGACATGTACGTCG